TCTGAGAAAGTTACTGAAAGATACACTTTTGTGTATAAAAGCTGAAAAAGGAGATAATGAAGTAGACTTTGTGTCCGTGTGAAACCCCCATACAGAATGTCAGTCCCTGTGTAAAACTTTTTTAGTGACACTCTGCAGATTTGTGTGTAATTCTCTCACAAAAGTAACTGTAAGATACACTTTTTATGTATGCAAAACCTTAAACATTTCTGAAATTAAAATACTTTATCTGAATACATTTTCTTTAGAGGCACTTTTTGATTTTAACACTATTTCAATGGTGCAATCCATTTTGTTGACATTAATGCTTTATACTCTTTTCTGGTGTTACTAGGATACTTTTAGTTACACTTTAATGGATGCAAACCTTTTTAACCGGGTAAAATATTCATTAATTTGTAAGGAATTCGTTTTCGTTATGTTTGTGATTTTAACACTGTTTTGATGAAACACAGCAGTCTTGATAACTTGACATGACTAACATTACTTTTCTAAAATATATGTTTTTTAGAAGCGTTACTTTGATTTCTTCATGTTATTTTGAACACATTACTTTTTCATATTTTTAAACATACTGTGATATTTTGTTTTTTGTCTTTCTATCCTTTTTCCATTATACTTTACTGAAGGATACACTTTTCTTTTTTAAAAGCTGACCACTGTCATGAAAGTACTCTGTTTTATTAGATTCCGTAAAGCATCTGACTCTAAATGCTAGTTTGTGATTTTGAGGCTATTTCAGTGAAACAAGGCTGTTTTTGAAAACATTTGGCAGATTTATGCTTAAATTCTCTGAGAAAGTTACTGAAAGATACACTTTTGTGTATAAAAGCTGAAAAAGTAGATAATGAAGTACTTTGTGTCCGTAGATTTCGTTAAGAATCTTTGACAGATTTATGCTTAAATTCTCTGAGAAAAGTTACTGAAGGATACACTTTTGTGTATAAAAGCTGAAAAGTAGATAATTAAGTACTTTGTATTAGTAGATTTGGTTAAGAATCTGACTCTAAATGGCAGTTTGTGATTTTGAGGCTATTTCAGTGAAACAAAGGTTGTTTTGAACATTTGACAGATTTATGCTTAAATTCAAACCTTGAAGCTACAAGATACAAAACATTTGTTTTTCCCTCTCACCACCCGCCTTTTTTTAGAATTTTCTCAACTTGAAAAAGCCTTGTCCTTGGATATCTGTACTTTTTGTAACTCTTTCTCATAAAAAGTCCCCTTGATCTCTTCTCCATCATAATCTTTGAGTTTGTAAACAGGTGGCTGTCGAGGTAAGCCTTCAGACACCGTAAATAATTCGTCCGTATAACTCTGCTCATATTTTTTATCGAATACTCCTTTCAATTTGGATATCCTTACAAGCTCCCCCTCCTTGAAGTTCATTTTGACAGCAGCTTTTTTACGAAGGCTGGAGGGGTTATATAGATTCCGAAACACTTGAGCCTCATTCTCCTTGGTTACCTGCAGTGGCGTCATTTTAATACTTCGGTGATAACTATTATTGTAACTTTCAAGTAGTTCAGGTAAGACGTCTATATATCTATGAGTGTTTTTAGCTGTAAAATACCTCCACATTTTAGTTTTCAGCGTACGATTAAATCTCTCTATCACACATGCCTTCATATCACTGGCGGTTGCATAATGTTGTATACCTCGTTTCTTCATTAAGTTTTGAAAAACTTTGTTAAAGAATTCTTTCCCCGCGTCTGTTTGTATCTTTTTAGGAATCTCACTGTGTGTTAAAATTGTATCAAAGGCTTGGGCAACCTCAATACCCGTCTTCTTATTTAATGCCTGAGCATAGGCTTTTTTCGAAAATACATCTACGACTGTTAACAAATAATTAAAACCATCATTATATTCGGACAGCGACTGCATATCGCAGAGATCTGCTTGAAATTGCTGCAGCGGTCTGAGTACGAAAACTCTGTTTCTTACAAAATGCACCCGAGCCGGCTTATGTAAAGTATATGCATCCTGCTCAGATAAATATTCCCTGACTTTCTCTACATTTACTTGTTTACCCATTTCATTCTGTACAGCTCTATGGAGTTTATCCACACCTCCTAAACTCCCTGGATTAGAAGGAGTGTAATACACCCTTTGCATGACACGTTTCTCAGACATGTTCCCTGTTACAGCCCGATTAGGTAATGAGTACAACAGTTTTTCTTACAAAGCATTTTATTGGTATGTCACACATGTATAAAAAACATGTTAAAAGAAGTAAAATATAAAACATACTTTAACGAAAAAGTATCAAATTTGTTTTTCCTATTGCTGCCAAAAGACCCAAGCTGCTCTTATAGTCTTCAGACGGGTCTCGTCATTATCTACCAGCTGGTCGAAAATCTTCTTCATTTTAGCCTCAAAGAGTCTGGTGTTTCTGAGATTGTGCAGAATCGCCTCGGTAGCTCCAAAGACTCTCCTCTCCGACACATGAAGCTGGCTCTGGTGTAAAGCGTCCCGAATGGCTGGAATGAAACGAACGGTCCACAGTCTCTTTATCACATCGTCATAATTTATATCCAGAAAGTAATCTTGGGTCGGAAACAAACACTCGTGCTGCCTCTGACCGGGGTGAGCGATTCGACATCCGTTACATGTTTCCTCTCTGTACAGTTGCACGACCCTATCCAGCAGATGAGCTACAACGGCTTTTACCGTATTCAGGAACGAAGCTGTCCTTTCACGTTCTGTAGCATCAACCTCTGGAACACAAGTATAGCATGGCACATCAACGCCTACTACTGTTGATTCCCCTGGAGACTCGGATGGAGGTTGATGCATATCCAGCCACCCCGTGATATCAATATCAGCCATATAGCTGTCGAGATCTGGTGTCCAGATTGTTGGAGAGGATGGAGGTCCTACAGGCGTTTGCTCCAGGCTGCAGCTCGCGGTGAGAGAGTTGTTTTCTTCGAGATCCATGGTTGCTGCTCACAAAATGTCCTTGAGGTGTTCTCATTTTTAAATGATCTGGCGAGGAAAAGGCGGGGCTTGTTATGTTAAGGGGAGGCGGAGCCCTCTGTAAAAAGTATTTTGCAGTCAAACCGGGGAAAATCTGCCACTTCCTCACAGAGCCCCTCCTCCAACACACATGAACGCGCATGACCAAAAGAGGGCGCGAGATAAGTTTGTGCACAGAGACCCCCGCATTGCTGCTGCTGCATTCGTTTGACTGACGCTCCGGACGGATGCGGTAAGCTGACTGATTAACCCCCATTCGAGGCGTCTCTTGGCCATTTTTCTTTTTTTGAAAAGGTGAATGGAATTGCTGTCTTTTTATTTAGTTTGCGCATATTTCTAATTCCACCCCCCACTATCTGCCTGCGTCATAGCCCGGAAGGGGGGAGAGGCTAGGAGGGGGCTGGTAGACAGTCTCACCTAACTTCAAGAGACACCTAAATTAACATCAGAGGCTTACAACACCTCATAGATTAGACTTCATAATTATACAACTCTGAGGGGGCAGGGGGCCAGACAGCATAAAGAGACTTAATCAACACCTAAATTAACATCAGAGGCTTACAACACCTCATAGATTAGACTTCATAATTATACAACTCTGAGGGGGCAGGGGGCCAGACAGCATAAAGAGACTTAATCAACACCTAAATTAACATCAGAGGCTTACAACACCTCATAGATTAGACTTCATAATTATACAACTCTGAGGGGGCAGGGGGCCAGACAGCATAAAGAGACTTAATCAACACCTAAATTAACATCAGAGGCTTATAACACACCAGTGTGAAGTCACACATACCTGCTATAACACCTCCCGTCAAAGGACTAGACTTCATAATTAGATTATACAACTCTGAGGGGACAAGGGGCCAGACAACACAAAGAGACTTAATCAACACATCAAAGAATTAGACAACAAAGGCGCTAGCCCGGGGCTTTTCACATGACACAAAAGGATCTCTAACAAAGGCACTATACAGGGGGGGGGGGGGGGCATTTCACACCTACGTGTGATGATACCTCACCCCTCACATCAAAGGATCTCACACCTACGTGTGAATTCACACCTAGGTGTGACATCCACCTCGAACAAAGGGAGGCGGGACTTAGCTCATTAACATAAGTAGGGAGAGGTGTGACCTGTCACACCACCTGTCACTTTTCTTGCATACTAATGTGATTGAAAGGGCATCATTATAACTACTTCTGTTCACAATAAAACATATATCAAAACATTCTCCACAGTTATCCAGCAAATAACAGAAAATGGCAGCCGGGTCACTTTAGACTCAAGTGGATCATGTCCATGTGCTGAAAAACTGGTCATTTATGCAATCTTTTTTGTTTAATAGCTGGAACCAAACACCTACTGAGTGTGGGGGATGGGCAGCCCCTGGTTATAATGTTTCTGGGGACTGTCATGAGTTTGGGCGAGACAGAAGGAGCTTTTAACTGTTATGAGGAGGAAGACAACGCCTATAAATAGTTGTTTTTAAAAATAGGCTTAGGTTGTAGTTATGACAAGGAGCCTCAAGGAGGCATCGGCTAATGCAGCTTGATCAGCTTAAAGGCTGACAGGCATACACCTACGCTCTGCATACAAATACCCAAACAACACATTCTGAAGATGGACCCTGAGCAGTGCATGCTTTTAAATCAGCACAGATTCACCAACTTTGGTACAAGGCATTGTATCATGCAATTTGTGAATTCTGACATTCACTGGTGATTTATTTAAAGTTGAAACACTTAAGCTCTACTATGCATGACATCAGCTGATGCTTTGGCAAACATAGTCATTTAAATAAGGGTGAATAATGTAGTCAGTTTCTAAGCAACAAACCCATACACACACACACACACACACACACACACACACACACACACACACACACGAACACACACACACACACACACACACACACACACACACACACACACACACACACACACACACACACACACACACACACACACACACACACACACACCTGCGTCATTTCCTAAACGCGAAGGGTCTGAGAGCATCCCGTTGAGCTCCCTCCTGCACAGAGGCTCCGTCAGAGCGAGCGGATGGATTTATAGTTTGTTCTGTGGACACAATGGACATGGAGAAGCTCATGTGCTGTTTTATGATTTTCAAGCATAAAGAGAGCCTTTCAAGGATTTTTATTCTGCCGGATTTCACAGATACACCGGACACTATTTGAATCGCAGAAGCTTGTGTTGTGTTGTACATGGAATAGGAAGACAACAGAGAGAAAGAACATGCATGCGATTTACAGTGCTTGACCAATGCCAGCTTCGACAGAGAAATGGTTTGTTTCGGTCTGAAACACCCCGTGCGGAGCACATCAGCGCTGTTACGCGTGTAGATCCCCGGTCACCTGTTGAAGTTGCTGGGTGCGCGCGGAGCTGTTCCACGTTTTACTTCACAACTAGAGGATCGACTTGAACAGCGCGTTGACAGATGATCGACCCGCCGTCCCGTCTGTATGATGAACTGATTCCCCGCCATGCTGTAGGATGAGCTCTGATCTGGAGAGCGTTTCGCTCAACACACCACTCTCCTCCGCCGGCTCAGGCGGCCGGGCGCTCTCCGCGAACGTCCGGAGGCTCCACACCGCCCTGAACCTGCTGCTCAGCGGCCCGGAGAGAGAGCAGTTCATCCACTGCCTCAATGTGTACCACGCCAAGCGCAACGTCTTCGACCTGGTCCAAACTCTCAAAGTGATTCTCAACACGAGCAGCAAACGCCAGCTGCTGCCCATGCTGCGCCTGGTCATCCCGAGGTCTGACCAGCTGCTGTTCGACCAGTACACGTCCGAGGGACTCTATCTGAAGACAGAGCTTTCCTCCAGCAACGGCAGCGCGGAGGGCGACTCAACTCTGCAGAAATATGTCAGCTCCATCCAGGAGCAGCCCCCCCCCTCCGGCTGTTCGGACGAGCTGTCGGCTTCCCTGGCCACGCCGCTCTGCGAGGGTCCCTTTGGAGAGGTGCGCAAAGTCCTGCTGGCGCGCACCAGGAGCCACGAGGGTCTGGGCTTCAGTATCCGCGGGGGGTCGGAACACGGCGTGGGCATCTACGTGTCCCTGGTGGAGCCGGGCTCGTCGGCCGATAGAGAAGGACTCAGGATCGGGGACCAGATAGTGACTGTGAACGACCTGATGTTCGACCGCGTGTCTCACGTAGAGGCGGTGCAGGTAGGGGGGCTGTGTTTGGATGTGTCAAAAATGATTGTGAACCTAACAATGAAGCTTGGTGGAAGGGGGGACCAGATAGCTTACATTTAGGAGCAGACCCAAATCACGCGAGACATCCGGATAATGGTCAACTTTGGTCAACATTGCAAGATAAAGCATTTGTGCTGCATTCAAGTTTTGTCAGTGTAATTGGAAGAATTACTTGCCCACTCAAGAACAAAACAGAACAGCTCAGCTTGATGTTTACATCTCTGACCAATAAAGAGCACATGTTCTTTTTTATGTTCAGTGGTGTAAAGACCCTAAGTAGGCATACTCAAGTATAGGCCTACTGTATAAGTAACATTTTGAGATACTTGTACTGTACATGAGTATTTCCATGTTATGCTACTTCCTACTCCTACTCCACTACAGTTCAGAGGTAAATGGTGTACTTTTACTGCACTACATGTATTTAATACCTTTAGTTAGACTTTAGTAAATTCACAAGCTACCCTGCAGTATACAAAGTCATTCAAACTAGCTGCACCTTTACCAGCTTTGTGAACATTTGAATGATCAATCATTATAACATATTATATACTTCTCAAATGGACCAATCTTCACAATGACTACTTTTACTTTTGCTTTAAGTATATTTTGATGACAATACTTTTCTACTTTTACTTGAGTAACATATTGAATACAGGACTTTTACTGTAACAGAGTATTTCTACACTCTGGTACTTCTACTTTTGCTCAAGTACAATATCTGAGTACTTCTTCCACCTCTGATTATGTTCACACAGCATTTGGCAGAATGAAGGAGGCATAAAGCAGCATCATTGGTGGAGGTCTCTGAATTCCTTCTAGTTACAGAGCATGTTGGTGAAATGGTGCAGACTGTGTGGTGATCCAGATGTAAACACTGTATGCCTCAGGCAGAGAGAGCGTGCATTAAGCACTGGGCCTTGCTGCCCTAGAAACAGCCTCCTCTGCCAGCCTCCAGTCTAATACTTTGTTTTCATTCTTCTACTTGACTGCATGCTCTGTGAACGAGCATGGAATCAAATGTTCATTAGCAGATGGAGTTATGGCCATTTCCTCATTGTAAAATAAAACTGTGGAGGAGAATTGGTCTAGGTCTAAGATATGGTCCGATTTTTGATCAACCAGGTTCTGTTCCCAGACCCGGTTCCCAGGCTCTTTTAGATGGACATGTATTGGCCCTAGTTTTAGCAAATGTGTAACTGTTGACTCCCTGGTCATTGTAGCGGCAGTCAGAATCAATGCAATGCCCTGCCCATTTATATGAGGTATTTTCGAGCTAACTTGTGTGACTGTTGTTTTTACCATCAAAGTAAAAAAGTAATTTAGAAGAATACACATATCAGAAAGCCTCGTCAGTCGTCACATTGATAATATATGCCTCTGGTTATTCTACTTGCTGCAGATGACATAAGGGAGTGAAAGCATGTGGGAGGAAAATACTTCAAATAGATAATAAAAAGGTCTGAAGGCAGCAAAGTTCACCTGTTGTTGTCACCATGTTTAAAAATTCCCCTCATAATTGTCCAAGACATTTTTTATTTTCCGCAGGTATTTTGACTGCCTGCTGAAATTACTTTATGACGTTGCACGCTTCTCATTGAGTCAGACTCTAATAGACTCTCTTTACAACAATTTCCACTTTTTCTGGAGGCTAGTTACAGCTTTTGTTCACACCACCGCACTAACAGGCAGTCCTGGGTATATACACACAGTTTCTGTTTTGTTTGTCAGCAGTTCAAGTCTGTCAGGTTTTTAGGCAGGCAGGCAGGCAGGCAGGCAGGCAGGCAGGCAGGCAGGCAGGCAGGCAGGCAGGCAGGCAGGCAGGCAGGCAGGCAGGCAGGCAGGCAGGCAGGCAGGCAGGCAGGCAGGCAGGCAGGCAGGCAGGCAGGCAGGCAGGCAGGCAGGCAGTCAGGCAGGCAGGCAGGCAGGCAGGCAGGCAGGCAGGCAGGCAGGCAGGCAGGCAGGCAGGGTAAAGAATGCACTCAGGAGCTAGCCCAGCTTAGCATGAAGACAGGAATAAGGGGGAAAACAGCTAGCCCATCAGCTCTGAAACGTTTTCTTGGTGAATAGGCTAGTCTAGTGCATTTTCAGAGTGGCTCTCTGGAGGTTTGTCATCACAGTGAGGTTTTCACGTTTGGTAACACTTTAACGGTAACACATATTTGTTTAAACAATCAATATTTAAAAGGAACTTATCAACTCCATGTCTCAATTACATCCTGTTGTGTCAAACCTGTCAAAAGCGTTTACAGTACATTTTTTAAATATGATACTGTGAACATGAAAAACAAAAAACTATAACATAAATATAATTAGCCCTGGCATAATGAACATCCTTCATTTGAAGTGAAAAAACAACAAGACACTTCAGAATAAGATAAATAAAAAATGGCTCTTTTAGAAAAAGCTTTTCGCCAGCTAAAGGCCAGAAAGTCAGCTGCAGACACAGAGGACCTCATTAGATTTTGTGATATAAATACTTTTACAATTATGTAAGAACAGTGTTGTGGAGAGTTACTTATGGTAAATCAATGAGTTGACTTTCCCGAATACAGGGTGTCTGACTTTCTTAAAAGCAACCCAGTATAATTGTTTCAATTAAATGGAGAGTTAAGTGGAGAGTTTTATGTTTGAGAGAACATTTATACTTTGTGTTAATGTGAAGGCGGCTGTATGTTTAGATGCTGTGGTCTCAGTAAGCCAGATGCCAAATACACACAGCTTGAAACCACAATCCCAGCCTCGGTTTACATCTGTCAAGTGTAGTGTCTGCTGGTGTTACGGCTCGTCCACACAGCGGCGTGCGTTAAAGCTTCAACGCTTCAGCCCATTCACTTTGAATGGGGCAACGTCACGCTTCGTCGAACTGCATTGTGGGAGCGAAGCGTAGCTTTGCTCGCTGCAAAAGTTGAGCAATGTTCAACTTTTGAAGCTTCGACGGAAGCGTCAGCCAATCGAATCATATGCCAGTACAAGCTCTAGCCAATCAAACCACTGCTTGTGTGTCCGGGGCGGGAGATTCAGGTGATTGGTTGTTGGTCTAGCTTCAGACATGCCCGCCGGCAAGCGACAACGCACACCGCTGTGTGGACGGGCCGTCACAGTGCCGGGATACTGGAACAGGGATTGGACCCACATGCAGAGAGTATTTCAGTGATGTAATGAAGGTAGAGGTCACAGATGGAAAGAGGTCCAGCAGGCAGCCATCATAGAATAGAATATAATTCCTTTATTGTCATCGCACCAGGTACAACGACATTTTAAAAAGCAATCCTCGCAGTGCATTTCCACATAAAACGAATAAATATATATCTATATAAAAATATACACACATAAACATATGCTCACACATCCATACCAACATGCATACATGCCCGTTTGACGGTGGTCAGTTCTCGTATGGCTCTGGGGTAGAAACTGTTTTTCAGTCGGTTTGTCCTTGATTTAATTGACCTGTAGCGTCTACCGGAGGGCAGAAGAGCAAACAGGAAGTGTCCAGGGTGTGAAGAGTCTGCAATTATTTTTGCCTGCTCTGTTGAGGCAATGTTGGCTGAAGAGTTCCTCCAGAGAAGGCAGTGAGCAGCCGATGACCTTCTGGGCTGTGTTGATGACCCTCTGAAGGGCTTTCCTGTCCTTTTCTGAGCAGCTGGCACACCACGTGGTTAGGCAATATGCCAGCACACTCTCTATGGAGCAGCGGTAGAAAGACACCAGGAGCTTCTCCTTCAGGTTGTTCCTTGTTTCCTGAGGATCCTCAGGAAGTGGAGTCGCTGCTGGGCCTTTTTCACAGATGTTGTGGTGTTGATAGACCAGGATAGATCTTCAGCAATGTGTGTGCCGAGGAACCTGAAGGCAGGAACCCTTTCCACACAGTTGCCGTTGATGTACAGTGGATCTGGTGTTGTGCTGTTTTTCCTGAAGTCTATAATGAGTTATTTTGTTTTTATGGAGTTCAGAACAAGGTTATTATCTGAACACCACACCGCCAGTCTCTGGACTTCATCCCTGTAGGCTGACTCATCTCCTCTTGTGATCAGTCCAACCACGGTTGTGTCGTCCGCGAACTTGACGATGGTGTTGGTGGGGTCAGTGGGGGCACAGTCATAGGTGTACAGGGAGTAGAGCATGGGGCTCAGCACACAGCCTTGTGGTGAACCGGTGCTGAGTGTGAGGGTGGAGGAGAGGTGAGGGCCTATTCTCACTGTCTGGGGGCGGTTAGTTAGGAAGTCCTTAATCCATTGGCAGATGTTTGGGGAAAATCCTAGGTCAGATAGCTTGGAAACCAATCTTCCCGGGATGACTGTATTAAAGGCAGAACTGTAATCAACAAAGACCATCCTCACATAGCTCCCCTGGTGTTCAAGGTGGGACAGTGCACTGTGAAGGACAGTGCACTGTGAAGGACAGTGCACTGTGAAGGACAGTGCACTGTGAAGGACAGTGCACTGTGATGAACAGTGGCGATGGCATCCTCTGTAGACCTATTTGCTCTATACGCAAACTAATTTGGGTCGAAGGTGGGTGGGAGAATGGTTTTGATGTGCTGCAGGACCAGCCTCTCGAAACACTTCATGATGAGCGGTGTGAGTACTACCGGACGGTAGTCGTTGAGGCTGGAGATGATGTTTTTTTTCGGCAGAGGGATAATTGTGGCAGATTTCAGGCACAAAGGGATGATGGATTTGGAGAGTGACAGGTTGAAGATCTTTGTGAAGACCTCCGTAAGTTGGTCTGCACACTCTTTCAACACCCTTCCCGTCACGCCATCAGGGCCTGGAGCTTTCCTCGGGTTCACCGCTCTGAGCACACGCCTCACATCATGCTCCTGCACAGTGAGGGTGTGACCATTGGATGCTGGTGAGGTTGTTAGGTCCGTCTCTACTGCATTGACCTCAAAACGAGCAAAGAAACAATTAAGTTCATTTCATTTAATTTCAAACCTATATTTATACAGATAAATCCCATTGAGA